AAAAATTAAAAATCTTTTATGGAGAATATACCCACCTCGGAACCACCTCTACCCATCCACATTCTATTCCATCCCATCCTTTAAAAAAAATCAAAAAATTGAAAACGTTTTTTAGAGATTACACCCCACCCCATGGAATCACCCTAGATTTGTGACTAAATGTGTTATCTAAAATCATATTCATTTTTGTGACAAGACATGTGTTATATGTGACTACTTGTTACCAAATTTGTCTTCAATGTGACTTTCTGTGACAGTCTAATTTCTAATTGTAACCAAATTTGTCTTCAGTGTGACTGTCTGTGACCGTCTAATTTGTGATTGTACGCAACCAAGTCACTAACATATGTTATCTTTGATTAATTGTGACCAAATCTGTCTTCGGTGTGACTATATTTGTCTTCAATGTGACTGTCTAGAATCGGGTATTTTAATCGTGACAGTATGTGATTAAGTCACAATCTATCACAATTAGTAGAAAATTGCTCACAACCAGTCATAATAAATACATACTTGGTCATAGAGGGTCATCACAAATAAATCTGCACACGTCGCATACCAGTACCACCAATCACCACCACCATCACCTCCAATGCACCACTACCACTACCACCTTCAACTCAAATCCACAACTATAACTTATACCTTCACCTCAAATCCACAACCATAATCGCCCCAAATCCACAACAACAACAACTTGCTACTATTATGTTGAAATATAGTTAAAACTTTCATCCATAAGCTACGTGGTTATAGACGTGAATGAATCGAAACAAACACTAAATGTGTAAAAACGTTAGACATATGTTTAAGACGACCATATGTCATTTTAGTTTGAACAAAATAGTGCTGCTATTATAGTTACCAAAAATCTGATCAAAATATCTATCAGAATTATTCAAAAATCATCACAATTTCATTATTAAATTCAACAATTAACATTCATCCATCCATAACAAACGTGAATAAACATAAACGAATATTAAATGAGTAAAAACGCCAACCATACATTTAAAACGATCAGATGCCATTTTAGGTCCAATCTTCATCCTCCCTTACGGCTTTACCTGACACTAAACCTTAAATTCTTCTTCTCTCTTGAAGGCGACAATCTCTTCCTTCCAATTCAAATGATACTATGCCAAATCTATATAATCAACCTCATCTATTATTATTATTATTATTATTATTATTATTATTATTATTATTATTTGTGGAAATTCTCGATTAGAAATAGTAAAAAGGATTGTATGGGTTGTGCGAGTTGAGGGTTAAATTTGGGGGGAAATTATATGTTAAAGAATGTGTAACTGTAACTTGTGGTTTTGCGAGTGTTTATAATAGTTGAAATACTTTATCAGAGTACAATCTGCTTCATATTAGAAAGGATTATTTCGATTGGACGAGGGATAAATTCTTGGGGGACATTAATGGGCTAAAGCGTGTGTAACTCTAACATGTGGTTTGTGTGTGTTCAGTGTTTACAATACTGAAGCTAGATTGAAATTGTTTTTTCTTTTTTGTGGATTTCGTACT